TTTGTGTTGCTTCTCGTAACCTAGCAAGGGACGGGATTCGTTGCGGTGGTCTCCACGAGTTGTTCCCCGTTTCGGACAATTGTCGTGGCAGGATGCTCCATTTCTTCACTTGCAGTTTAGGTTTGCCAGTCTTTTTCGTCCAGGTATTCCTGAAATCCTAAGCCCTTCAGTTGTGAGGGGACGGACGGGGGCGGTTGGGCGTGCCTCTGCTTGGGATCGTAGTGGACACTGCAGTCTTGGAGTACTTGTCAACGGTACTTGTGGAAATTCTACAGGCAGCCCTGGCTATAACTACAAGCCCAGGGCCACAAACAACCTATATAAACCCAACAGCAAAACACCACAGGCCCACAGCTTATGCACACAAACTACTTTCGGTAACAACAGCAATCAGATAGTACGACGGCTGATGATAGAAATCCTGCATTACCCATAATAAGGAATATACCATCAATCCCATAGTTTAGGGCCCTTAAGGTGATGCAGGATTTTTATCATCAACCGGAGAAGCTCTGTAAATGCTGAACATTCCGCACTCAGATCACATGGAGCTCGGTCCTCTCATACTAGATTTCGTGTTATCAGCGTCCTTGAACCACAGGAGACTGGGTTCGTTTTAAGGACTGTAATGTAAGTTACCATAGTAGGGATCTATAGTAAATAATACGGTTTCCTTTTTATGATAGCTTAATCTAGTATATAAGTTGTCATAGTAAGGAAACCCCATCATTTACTGTAGAAACCTAATATAAATAATGTGGTTTCCTTATTATTATGACTTAATAGCAAGAACCGAGGAGAAGCACAGCCCATACATCGTGCTGAACGGCACCCAGGGATGGGTGGTGGTCGGAAATTCGGCTGCCTGAGGTTCGGGTGTGGAGTTTCTTGAAGTGAGCGTAGGGTTTAGGGTTTAGCGTTGGGCCAAGGACGTAAGCTCAGGCTGTGGGATTTAGTATTTAGTAGTTTAGTGTGGGGTGAAGTAGTTTTAGGGCTTAGAGCTCGGTGTGCAGTGAAGTAAGCTTAGGGCTGAGAGTCTCGTGAGGTGTTCGGCGTCGGGTCTTCGGCCAGGTTTAGGGGTTTAGGGCTTAGGGCGCAGCCAATTCACCGCCCCTTCGTGCAGATGCAGTACATGCTCTAGCTTGAAACAGAGCTTTGGGGCCCAAGCACTCGCACCCGAATTCCGCAACCGGAAGCAAGCCCTGAACCTCTTCACATAGCCCCGGAAGGAGTGGTAGCATGATATACCCCAAACACACTTGCATTTTTCCAGGCTCCAACCAGTATGAAAGCAGACGGTTTGATTCTAGTTCGGCTGAGGCCCTGCAGCCTGATCCCCCGGGTTCTGAAGTGCCATACTTTAATGATGGTTTCTTTGGGCCTGTTCCTCAAAGGAACCCTAGAGTCCTACACCCCAGCACCTGAGCATTACGTGTTAAGGGACTGGCCATTCCCACGGCATTGAACCCGAAGCCTTCGTTATGCGACCTCCAGCTGCGAAACCTTTGGATTTCTGGTGCTCCTGGAGCAAACCTAACCGCCGACTGCAGTCAAACATGCCCCGGAACATTTTTGACAAGCCCGCGTTTTACGGAGTAGGCAAGGTGGAAACGTGCAAATACAACCATACATGATGCTTTCAAACATACATGTGTGTATATATATATATATATACACAGATGTATACATGTGCATATATACTTATACAATATGTTTTCGTAAAGAAACAGGCCATATCCATGTTCGAAAGACCCCTGAACACTCCAAAAAAGGTGAGCAATCGTCCCCGCGCATGAAAACAGTTACTGACCTTCAAATTAAAGCCTGCAACCGTTTGTTCAAACCTTTCTACAAGCTACATAAGCCTTACGCCTAAGTCTAAGACCCGTAACCTGTTTATCCACAACATAAGCCCTATGCCCTTCATTGTGGGCTTAGACTCTTAGACCCTAAGTCCTCAAACATCCCCAGGGTCGTAAGTACTTAGTATAGTAGAACGTAGCTGTCTACAGCAGGATTACTATTATGATCTGGGCATGTATCCCCGATCAAGGGGCCTTTTAGGAACCCATAAAGGAACCCTTAAAGGAGCTTTAAAGGCACCCTTGAAGGCACCCTTAGAGGTACTGAGGACACTCTGGGTTTCGAAGCCCCAGGAAAGGGCGCCGTGACTGGGAATTCTTCTGACCTCATCCATCCGATCCTTGCTTTGCATGGCCAAAGCATCCTTAGGGTTCAAAAACGGGTGTAGGGTACTATCATAAGGGGTTTCTTCAAGGGATCTTTTGGTGTTCTATAAGGGGCTCTCTTAGTAGTTGATTAGGTAATAGGTAACGTTTAACCTTGTGGGGCTTATGTAACCCTACCATAATGAAAAGTTTAATCATGTTTGGGCTAGGGTAAACAGCCCCTAGGAATTTCACGTTGGGGTTTGAGGGTTTTAGTGTTCTTGAGCTTGGGTCGTAGGGTTTTACATAAGTTTCTCGGATTCTGATTCGGGGTTCCAGGGTTTTGGTTTGGGTCGTATTTAACCCTAAACCCTAAACCCTAAACCCTGTAGGCCTTTTCGGTGTTAGCACTTACCGGACCTACCACCCTCAGCACCCGAAGCAAAGGCTTGAGACTGCAGGGGGTTTCTGATGTATTCCCGACATGTTATGGGCCATGCACCCTCACGCCCCCACGCTGATCTACAGTTACCGATATAGGGTATAGGGCTTCGGGTATCTATATAGTTACATCATAACTCCCCCAGGCCTCTCCTTCTACGGACCTGAACCCTCAAACCCTTCAGCATGATAGTCTTATTGACCTTTACATTAGGGACTAAACCAACCAAAGTCTGAAGCCATACCCTAAATCTCAAACCTAAACTATAGTCTTACCCCAAGCCCTAAATCCCAAACTATAGTCTGAACCCAAACCCTACACCCTTAATCCTAAACTAAAGTCTGAACCCAAATCCCAGGCGTGAGGTCCGTTTGGGGATAAGGGTTGCGCGCACGTCAGCAGTCGGATGACTAGCATCCACCATCTTCGCCTAGGGCTCATACGTTAAGGCCGGTTTAGGGTTTAGGGTTTAAGGCTCTTGCGCTCTTTAAGGCCTAAAGATCATACTGTAAACCCCATAAAGTTGGAAACCGGATCACGGCCAAATAGTGCTGGGTTTCATTACTCTTAAGGATTGAGGATATTGGGTTTCCAAACTTTTGGGCTTTTGCTGCAATATAGAAGACTTTGGGGCTATCCTGATTCCCAGGTTCAAGAAGACGTACGGGATTCAGGGTTTGGGGTTTAGGACAAGGTGCCAGAGGAGACATTCACGCTAGCCTTGGACTTCAACAAGGACTTTGTGCTTGACAATGGCACGAACAGGCAGGAAATGAAGGATGATTTGCAGCACCGTGATCATTCATGTCAAGGCGGGCGCGAGGTTCTTCATCGTCACTACAGATGTCCGACGACGAGCTTCGCTGGCTAATAAAAATAGCCGGGGTGCCCAATTCCGATCTAAGTCGGACAGCAGCATGACATCGGATCACGAAACCTTGAACGCTTGCTGCTTCTGACTCGTTGTACGACTAGTCGAGGAGTGAAGCTCGTAGCATTGCTAAACGTGCTAAACCTACTCATTATAAATCATAAACGACAGCCTAAAAGTACCGATGTTCAGAAAAAAAAAACAGAAGCGGCACGAATCCTTGTCATTATCGGTGCTTGCCGGGGCAGCAGGCCGCAAAGAGTCGCCTGTCGTCTTCCATATATTGGCACTGCATTTCTGTGGTTCGTCAGCGAAGATTTCCAGTGCCAAGTCGGTTTCGAGAGTGGTCGCAACCATGCAGCCTCCGATCGTAAATTGTGTATCAGCAGCATAATGAACGGTTGTTCTTCACCCTGGGACTAAAATCCTAAACCCTTTATAAACCAGCTGAAGCCCTAAGCATCCCTAAGCCCAAATCCTACATTTCCCGAATCGTTAAACATCCCGAAACCGTAACCTAGTACGTAGTAGAGCAGGCAACCTTTAACCTTTTTTGGGTAGTATAGTCCCTTTATAATCCCTATATAACCACAAGGTTAACCTTTAGTTCCCCATGATACCCGACAAGTAGGGTAAAGCCCCAAAACTTTCGACAATAAACCCTTGAGCTCGAAATCAGTGGCCTTTTACACCAAGGGCTCCAGGACCGTTGTAGTGAGGTCCCAAATCCCAGCCCCCAAAGCCGAGACCCTAACCCAGAAAGCCCAAGACCCTCTTAGGAGCCTTAGGGTAAAATCCTAAAGCCCTAACCCCCAAATCCTAAACCCTAAAATTCTAAACCCTAAAATCCTAAAACCCTAAACCCCTTTGAGCGTGTTCCGTCGGGCGTATGCCAAGTCTAACTTGCTTCCTTTCTTGGCATTTTCCTGTACAGTATAAGCCAGAAAGTTGGAAGATCCTTGCCCTTACCCTATAAGGCCCCAAAATACTCCCTTTTTGGCGTTCGTATATAGAATCCTATAAGGTAATCCCAAAAAGGAATTACTTTGGGGCCCATGGGTATGCCCTTGAGGTAAAGTAGAGGGAATCCCAGCACTATTAATCCTAATCTATGTTGCAACTGTCCGGGTTTCACTGTACGGAGATTATATGAGTGGTTCTCTAATTCAGGGGGTCCCCTTTCAGAGTCCTTGTTGTTAGGGTGCCGTACTATCTTGGGGACCCAACAAAGGACCCTAGTTTAGAGAACTGCCCATCTTCATATTGTTGCCCCTGAACATATACCTCAACCTGTTCCGGGGCTCCAATCTCGTATCTGCTATGAGGCTTCAGTACTTAGGGCTTGCGATCTGGTCCCTCTACTAAGGGATCATGGGACTTAGTAACCAGGGTTGTAATCAGGGTAACTATACTTATAACTACTTATAACCCCAATGAAGGTACTTATAACCTTGCTTACTAAATCCCATGCTCCAAGTAACTCCTATTTCCCGAAACCTGAAACTTGTGCGGTTCCAGGATGGAAGACAATCCTGATTTCATTCACTTTATACAGACGATGTGGGTGGAAGACCAGACAGGTACCGTTTGTGAGCTTGAGGGGGGGGGCTTTGGGGCTTCAAGGTGAACTCGTGACTTTGTAAGGGTCTGTAGGTTTTATTTTATAGGGTTAAACGTACGGGGTTTGCAAGTTCTGTGTGAAGTTGCCTGCATGAGTAGAGTAGGTTACTTGTAGACAAGAAGTTATTCTACATCGGCATTAGACTTCCGTATCTACTTGGCCCCTGAAATGAACTTGATTAGGCTCTTGGGTTTGCAAAAATCGTTGCACTTGGGGCCTATAGTGTCTGGGTTGGCCAGGATGTTGCTCTTTTCTTTCCTGTGTCTTTCTCCTGCTATCCTGAGCTCATAACGAGAAGCCTTAAACCCCCCCTAAACCCTAAACCCTTAACCAGTTTGGCTTGAATGTAATCCCTGTTTTGCTACACTAAGAGTCAAATATATACTACAGGGGCACATGGACCTCCAGGGAAAGGTAAGGCAAGGACGCCTCAAACCTTCAAACTCACGCCCCGTATGTGGATGGCTCCGAAGGTTTTGGATCTCCAAAACGTCAGCCATGGTAGAGTATACTGTTTGGGTGTAACGAAGGAACTCTAACTGGGGGAACCAACCCTCAAACTACTATAACCTACCAACCCTCAAACTACTATAACCAACTTTATTCTGCGTGTTTTTACATGATAGACCCGAATTTAAATTTTATGAGAACCCCAGAAAAAGTGGTTTTTGGTAGGGTAAAGGTGCCCATGAGATCCTTTGAGAGGTCGTGTGGTGTCCATGCGCCACCTTTCACCTGCCGAGCTGGCTCCTGCTACGCCGCTCGTCGGTGCCGGAAACCTTAATTTATAGCGAGTTTTGGGTTCCTTTCAAGGGATATCACCCTAAGGGTCCAAGTACCCAAATAGTAGGGTTTCAAGGTCCAAAAACCATTCAGGGTATGGATTTGGGGGATCTAAAACCCTACTAATTATTTGGGTACTTGGACCCTCTGGGTCAGAAGGGTTCTACAAGGTTTAGGGTTCAGGGGTTTCGGGCTTTTAGGGTTAGGTGGTTTAGGGGTTCAGAGTTTAGGGTTCATTCAGGGCCTATTCGTGTAGCGACTTGCTCATGCAGTGTTTGTTACATATGTACGTAGGTAGACATGTGCATAGATACATACACACACACACATGGCAGTTAGCCACAGCAGTAACATCAACAAAAACAACAAGCAATCTCACGAATAATACTTACGTTGATGGTGTATGGTGTTTGTTAAAAATTATACGGCGAGCAATCCACTGAGCATCCCCACAGCCTTCAAGAACCAAATCATCATCCAACGTTCTTTATTTTCAAAAAGCAGAGACGTCAGACATACACACAGAGCTGTAATGAATCAAGCTCTACGCCACGTCCATGTCCTCAACTCCAACCCACATCAATCTGAAGCCTTCGACCTCTAGATACGATCGAAGAAACTCTAGGCCTGTAACTGACAAATCCTCTTGAAACGGGTAGGCCATTATTAGGGTTCACCCAAGGATCAAGTGCCAAAGCCCTGAACCCTGAACACCCAAAACACGACAGCTAGACTCAAGGCCCCTTCCGGACCGAACGGCGGCAGGAACCCAGTTCAGACATTAAATCCACACAACCTTGAGGCTACTGTTGATGATATAAATCCTGCAGGACTTTAGGGACCCTGAGCTATGGGAGTGAAGGTATATTCCTTTGTTGGGGTAGTGCAGGATTTCTATCATCAACCGTAGTAGTTGGGTGTGTAACCTTTAACCACTTTGTCCTTTTGGGGTTCGTATAACCGTACCATCAAGAGTCCAAGTAATCATCTACCCGCAACATGCAAGCTACACTTGTGGTTTTCTTCAACCCAAGCAGGCAGTTATTGGGTGCGTTGCATTTGATGCCCTTCTAAAGCCACTGGCAAACTTTCAACACCGTTTCAATTCTAGAGCTGAATTATCGGGGGTACTACGGTTGATGATATAAATCCTGCATTGCCCATAATAAGGAATAAACCATAATTCCCATAGTCTAGGGACATTAAGGTAATGCAGGATTTATATCATCAACCGTATGTAGCCTGACACTTTCGACTTTCTAACCTTGCAGCCCTATGGTTGGTGTTTCTCGACCCTGAGCGAGAGACAGCCGGTTCAAGTTTTTCGTTCTTAGGTCGGGGTCGGTCAGTGGTGGTTGGGTCTGGGGTTGGGGGATTCAGCACAAGTTGAGGTGTTCAGGGCATTGTTTGTTTTGGGTTTGCGGGTGCATTTTTCGGGTAGGTGCATGCCGCTGCTGCTCAAGCGGCTCAAGCGACACCTTTCAAGAGAGAAGGTAGACCGGGTCCTGAAGTGATGTAGAGTTACACAGGGCCTTAGACCTTTTCTGTAACTGGTAATTTAGCATTTCTTTGAGCGCTTTTTCTGTATTGGATGCTGTACCTACCACACAGAACTTGTCGTGCTTTAGCAGGATCATGCCTTATCCGCCGTAAACCACAGGGTTCTACATCATATACATCGGGCCAGACCCTTAACCCTGCACCCTGAGGCTTGGGTTCGTGTTGTCTCACAGATCTGAGTAGAGATCTCCGATACACAATGTCTGCGGGCAGTGACGAAGCCGTGGCTTGGGTTGATGGAGGTTTAGGGTTTAGGGAGGGTACTCTTTTCAGAGGTGGGAATACTCGGTTATTAGTACACCCCCTTAATGGAATCAGAAGGGTTCGTATTAGTGAGGTCCTTAAAAAGTGGCTCCATTTTCAGGGATCCGACGTAGGGCCTAGGGTTTGAGTAGTTAGCACTAGTATTGATCCGTAGTCCCTATACTTTTTTTATACACTAAGCCACGAAGCTCCATTGCGACTGCTCTGGGCCTATAGCATTTGAGTACTTATCTGGGGGCTGTGTCAGTAACCTATACTACTATTTGCTTAAGAAGCCCCCAAAAAAATAAAAAATAATAATCCCTATATTACCCCCAAAAGGAATATATTTTTTGTTTTTTAGGGGCTCTTAAGCAAATAGTAGATAAGGTCCTTTGAAGGCTCCCTACAGCCTACATTTTCATGTGCCGAAGTGTCTAGTGTTCAAGATATTCTCAGGGTGTGGGGTACTGGGGGTAACGGCGCCTTCATTATTAGAATAGGGTTTTGGGTGGCATATTATACTTATTATACTATAATCACAATAAGGAACCCCCAAACCCTACCATTATGGAATCAGGGCCCCAAAACCATAATAGGGATGGTCTGTTAGGACCTAATCCCATAAGTATATGGACCCTCTGGGTGATTAAGGCCGCCTACATTATGCCCCTAAACCCTAAACCCTAAAACCCTAAACCCTACACCGCTGAACCCTAACCCCTAAACCCTGAACCCAAACCTCATACGGGTTCTCTTTTTTTTAAAAAAAAAAAAGAGCCCGTATGAGGTTTGGGGTAATCGTCGAGAGAAGGCCTTAGCCAGGGTTCTGGAGCACCATGGGTTCCTTTAAAGGGTGCCTTCTAGGGTTCCTTTAAAGGGACCTAAGGACTTGTAGGGTTCCTTTAAAGGGTGCTGTCTACTTCAGGGATCATGGGACTTAGTAACGAGGGTTCCTTAAAAGGGCTCCTTAAAAGGGAGCTATAGGGGTTCCTTAACGGGATGTATGGGGTTTAGGGTTTAGGGTCTACTTAAGGGATCATGGGACTTAGCAAACTAGGGTTAAAATTAGGGAAACTAAACTTATAACTACTTATAACCCCAATTAAGGTACTTACAACCTTACTTGCTAAGTCCCATGATCCTCCAAGTAGTTAGGGTTCCTTTTAAAGGGTCTTAGGGTTCCTTGAAAGGGATCTATAAGGGTCTAGAGCTTTTTTTAAGGGATCTATAAGAGTAGTTGTCAAAATTCGGGCCCGCTTTTTGGGTACCGTATTATAAGAAGGGCGCAAAAAAAAGGACAATAATTTTGACAACCACTCATATGTACTTGAATGCCTTTTAAGACCTGTTCCTGGAAGGAACCCATTATGAAACAGGCTCGCGGGGCTGTTTAGGGTTTAGGGTTTAAGGGTTCTACGGTTTCCCTAAGGGTCCAAGTAGTCCTTCTTATGGTCTTTGGTACCCGAAATGACCCAAAGCACTAGAATAGGGAGTACTTGGACCCTTAGGGTTTTGTGTTCGGCTGAGGTTCCATTGAATCGGGGGTCATGGGCGATTAAATGTGTGTGTGTGTGTGTGAGGGAGATGCCTATCATGACGATCTTGATCATCCGGTGTGTGTGTGTATACCATACAAAACAAAAGTGTATACATGTACAGAGGCACATGCTTACCTGTACATACAGATGTGTGTACACTAACATGTTTATCTGTCTAACAAATTATAACTATCTATCTGCATATCTATGTATTTACGATACATAATAATAATAACAATAACAATAATAATGATAATAATAATAATAATATAATATATATCTATATATAGATATGCCTCTATCTATCCGTCTATCTATATCTTTGTCTACCTATCTGTCCTTTCATCTATCATATGCTATGTATGCATGTGCGCATTGGTTTAGGTATATAGGTATGTAGGTAGACAGGTAGGTCGGTGGGTGGGTAGTTAGGTGGTTCAGGTCGGCCGGTGTCGCGGTAGGTCGGTAGCATTCGGCAGCTAGGTAGAAGGGTACGTATATGTGTGTGTGTGTGAGAGTGCCTGCATGTAATGTAACCTCTAAGCCCTAAACCCAATCCCTAAGCCCTGTATGTTATTATGTATGTATGTAGGTAGGTACGTACGTATGCATGTATGTGGGATTTGACGTTGAGCTCATCGTCTGCTTGGGGGTGATCCGCATGGGCCCTTGTTTTGGGAGTGTGGGGCCCTGTAGACATCTGTAGTGTATGGTGTAGGATTTAGGGTCTACCTACTTTGGAAGGGAAGACCTTGACAAGCTTGTTCCACGTGATACGGAGCGATTGAAACAAACCAGACTCCTCGAAAGTGTGCTGCCTTCTTAAACCCTACACGCAAGAACCTTGAGTCTTTGCCAGCCGCCCCCCCAAGAGGCCTCCTTTCTTGGAGGTCCATGGGTAGTTATAAGTGGAGTTGTAAGTCCCCTAATATGGGTTACAGTTACAGTTACCTTACTTATAACCCCACTTATAACTAACCCCCGAACCTCAAGTAATTCCCTAAACCCTATACCCCTATAGAATCCCTATAGACCCCTTTTTAAGGGACCCTAAAGGAACCCTTGTAATTCCCAGGTCATCTTTGGGCTCCTGGAGCGAGGGGAGGTGGAGGGACTGAAGCTAGGATGCCCAGTAGTACCCTTATTCAATTATTCCCTTTTTGTAGTCCTAGGTTCCTTATAAAGTTACCCAATACCAAATCTAAGGTTACTGGGCTTTCGGTAGTCCTAGGTTCCTTATAAAGTTACCCAATACCAACAAGAGAGGCCTTTTTATTCTTAGGTTACTGGGTATCCTAGGAAGAGATTTGCTCCGGTCGGCTTCGATTGGAGCACCTGCGGCGGGGTCTACGACGTGCCTGCTTTGCATCATGCTACTAGGTAGGGCTTTGGGACATTTTATATTTTCAATAATCGGGCTTAAGAGGATCTTACCTACTAATATCGTTCAAAGGCTTTAAAAGCACCTCCTAGGCTATCTTGGAGGGAGTTGCTTTGGGTGGGCTTGCAACAGACCAGACGCCTTTGATCAATGCCATCAAATGGCTGCTGCTGGCCCGCTCTTCGGCATGCTTTGCGCTTTACGTTAGAAGATATGTTTATGTATATATATATATATATATGTATATGT